TCCTATCCAAGTGTACTCTTGACGCTAGTTGGAATTCCTGAAGTGTAGATGATATACAGCATAGGCCCTAGTACACTACCTTGAGGAACGCCAGCCGTTATCGACATGTCTTTTGAAGTGAAATTAGATACTTTTACAGCAAATTTTCTGTTAGTTATGTATGATTCAAATATTTTGTGGAATTCCGGCGGCAAAATTTTTTTAAATTTTATATATAAGATCGTCGTGCCACACTTTGTCGAATGTTTGTGCCACATCGAGAAAAATTGCAGAGCAGTACTCTCTGAGCTCAAATGCCCTTCTGTAGTGGGATTCGCCATTCTATTTTAACGATTATCGAATCGTTAAGAAAACTTAACGACGATTTTAACGATTTGACAATTTGCTAAACATATTTTAACGATATTCGCGATCGCTTGATCAGCTGTTGTCGTTAACTACTCGATTACTCGTTAAGTAAACGACGAATATTTTGAAGTTGTTAGCGGCATCGACAAAAGAAAATTTGATATTTCATTTGAGTTTAAATAAAATAATATAGATCGCGAATTTACTTAAGTAATATATAAAAGAAAAACTTTTTGTTAAAAATGGCATTTGAGTATTTGGCATACGTTTTATCCCAAGATGAGGAGATAATAAGCCCTTCATCAGTGGATAGACGTTTGCTTCGAGAAGTGGACAACCCTTTCCACTTGACTGCAACTGAGTTTCGTAACCTTTACCAATTAACCCCACACTTGGTTGAAGATATTGTTCCTCAGCTTGATAGCCAATTAAGGGGTCGAAGAATAACTGCGATAACGACAGAGAAATAGGTAAATAATGTAATTTGCAAGTATTTTTCAATTTTAAATGCTTTTGTAGATTTTAAAGGTTCTAACTGCCTTGCGATTCTTCGCAACTGGCTGTTATCAACGTCCCGTCGAAGAGCAATGGGGGATATCCATGAGCCAGTCGTCCGTAAGACACTGTATACATCGCGTAATGGATGCAATAAACCGCACCATGTTTTTGGCAAAGGTTAGGTTTCCAATGACCCAAATAGAGCGGCAAGCTGCAAAAGAAATTTTCGCCTCAGCATCCGCACCATATGTAGGAGGTACTATTGGGGCTATCGATTGCACTCATGTGTCAATTATGAGCCCAAAACATCATGAAGAAGCGTATGCCAACCACCATGGATACCATTCTATCAATGTGCAAATGGTAAGAGTAAAATTTGCTCACGGGTTAAACTACTGAGAATTAATTTTATTTTATACAAATATAGATATGTGATCCAAATCCAAAGATTTTGGCTGTCAATGCTAAATACCCAGGAGCGCGACACGATTCATTTATTTGGAGCTCCTCTGCAGCCCGGAGAGTTATGCAGCGAAGTTTTGAAAATGGAAACCATAACATGTTTTTGTTAAAACGTTGATAAATAAAAATTCAGAAGGAATACAATAAAATTATTTTGGCATTTTATTAAACATTTTTATGTAAATAAAAACTTGTATCAATAACTTCAGTCTTATTTTGTTTTTAATTTGAGTACATTTTTTTTAAGTCTAGAATTATATATGTAAATAATCATTAAATATTGGGTCCATCAAAAGATAGATCTCAGTATGTAATCACAGATCGGTTTCAATAATATGATATGGCGTGGAGTAAAAGCACGTTCAAGTTACAGGCGCATCACAAAATTAAAACATGAATTCACAAAATGAAATTTCATTACTTATTGTATATAAGAAATATATGTGGTATATCTTACATGCAGTAAGACCGTATACCTCTATCAACTAAATTTGTAAACATTGAATTCATTTGAAAATCAACAGAACTTCAAATAGCTCGCTTATTAAAAACAAATAAAGATCAATTCAAACTTGTAAAAATTCTTCTTCGAATATCTTAAACAGTTATTCTAAATGTAAAAAGTTAACTTCATGCTATGTCGAATTAAAACTTAACTCTAACATAAATTCAAAAAAAGGAACTTCATCATGGGCGTAGCCAGGTAGGGGCAGGGGGGTGCTCGAGCCCCCCTAACTTTCAAATTTTCCTTATATATATATAAAATAGTACCCTGAAATGCCAGCTTAATAGGGTCGAGCCCCCTCTAAATTTCATTCTGGCTACGCCGATGAACTTCATGCTATATCAAACGAAAACTTAACTCTAACATAAATATAAAAACAAAAAAGAACTTCAACTTACATTTAAAACGCTTAAAACTAACATAAATATTAAAACAAGAAATTACTTCAAAAACTAAATATTTACATATTTGTTAAATTATTAAATGCATCCGCACGTGCCTTTAAACCTTCCCCCATTATGTTCATAGCTTCGGCCAACGATTTCGCTACCTGCACACTCGCCGTACTTGTTTCAGCTAACAACTGTTGAAAGAGCATACGAATGTAATACTATTTTTTTAGTATGTACAAAAAATTACCTTCAAAGCATCTGCTTGTCTACTTGCTATTTGTATATTCGCTGCACTCGACTCTGCTAGATTCTGTTGAAAAAGAACCGAAAAAAT